CACAGAGGCACAAATTCATCAAGGGAAAAAGTTGTTCAGAATACTGAACACTTGTTCTTGAGGAAAAAAAAAAAAGAGTAAATCCCATAGGCTGATGTCACAGATAAAGAATCTACTTTTCAAATGTTGATGATTTTATAAATATGGAGATTACTCATGTTATTAGAATAGATAAAAGATAAAAGAAAGCAGGGCCTTAGAGAACTATTAAATGCAAAATAAGTTCAATGCATTTCAAAATACATTTTAAAGTATATCTATAAAAAGTTGGTTAAAGGGTTAAGTATATAGAATATTCTGGGTTTTTTCTTACTTCTTAAAAAATTCAGTAAGTCTGACCATATTGATTCCAGCTAGATCAACATTTTTTTCAGTGCTTAGTATAGAATCTGTCCCTCAATTTATCTTTAGCTGAAGCAAACTTTTAAGTTCATATTTTTGTCATCTGTTTTATTAATCTATGTTACTTCCTCACCATTCAATCAACTCATCTTAATTTCACTTTTTCGTACTTCTGCATTCACTTCATTTCATAAAAATGACCAAGTCTGTCTCTAACATTATACATACATAGGTTTTAATTCTTAGTTTTATTAGAATATTTTATTATCTAGCATTAGTGTCAGCTTCTGCTGTTTGCTCTAAGAAGCTTTGGTGCAGTACCAGGAATCACTGCAGAGAACAACAGAAGCAGTAACCACTGAAACAAGGTATTTTATTTTAATTTATTCACTCTTCTGAGGTGCATTCATGTTGTATCACTGGGGTAGAGGGGCACACTCCTTGATTAGCAAGACATTGAAATTCACAATAAAAAGTGCACAAGCTCAACTTCAAGGTGCACTCAGTAGGTCACCAGTCATTTCTGGAGCTGTCACTATGTCAGCAGCAATGCAGTGCCCTTCCTCCTCAACTATCACATCCATGATTCCACAAGGTCAACAGGACCCAGTGCTGACTCTTTGTGTGGGCTGACATGTACTCCAGTTTTTGTACTGCATGCCAGTTGGTTTGGCACTGAAGGTCAGTTTGTCTAACTTACCCTGCATTAAGTGGACGTATCTTTTCAGCATTCATCTGTTTCTGTTCAATAGTTCAGCACAGAACCTTTCATCAGTCTGGGTGATAGAGAGCTGCACAGTGTAATGTGCCATTCACTGGGTATGATTATAATGACCAAATTTCAGCTGTTCCAGGCAGATGATCCCTATCAGTCCTTTCCAAAGTTCCTCAGTATGCAGCATTATCATCTCAATTCAACAGTGATCAGTGCACAGTGTAGTATTGTTGAACAATAGATCACACAAATCTGTGTTCACCTCCTGACGTGTGACAGTAAATAGATGTGTCATTGGGCGTTTTCCGGTTTCCCCGTCAGCTTACCTACTGCACACGTCATCTAGTACAGGTGCTTTCCTAAGTGTCTTTCTTCATGCTGTCAAAGCTCTTCTTTTCTTTTTACATCTTCATGAATTCTTTGGGTCCAATTTATGAATCACTCTGGCAATGTAATGATTCCAGACCCTGCTATGCAGTTTGTTTGCAATATACCACACTGACTTCTAATGCAAGTAACTTCACACTGCTTTTAAGTCTGTGTCACTCTTTCTCTTACCTTGAAAACTCATAGATTATCTCTTTTCTTCCTCTGCTTGTAAATTACGAGAATTTACGAAATTCTTCTCTGTCTTGTGTTGGGGTGGTTTAGTTCTTTTGCAGTATTACTAAATCAGACCTTTTTTTCCATCTCAGCACAAGGATCTGTGACTTCTTGGGCCATTTTTGGATCAGCTGACTTTTACTTGCAATTTTGTTCTTCTGGGTATAGTCGCTGTGTCTGTGCAGTACTTCTCATATGGAAGGTTTTTCAAATTATTTTTAAATTTAGCAACCTTAGCTTTTCTAGCTTTTCTGATGTTTTGGGAGTCTTTGTCCTTTTCAGTTTTTTACTATAAGGATTTTACAGCTTTCCAATGTAATTACTCAAGTTTAATTGTTAAGTGTCTGAATAGGATGTTTCATGAAAAATTGCTTCTACAAGCATAGCTTTGTACTTGACATTTCTGTTTGGAAGCCATTAAACAAGATTAATTCTTCTCCTTTGGTCTCACAGCAGTTCTTACCTGTGTGAGTGATCCTATTGACTACAAAAGGACTTTTCATATCAGTCATGATTATAGGACTGGACTCTTATCTCCGTATTTTTGAGACAGTTTAAGGCCTGTTCAGCAACAGATGCAAGTATTCTGTGCCAAGTGGTCAGGTTCACACAGCTTATTGCTCATCCCACTCCCATGAAAACCAAAAAGGTGTCTTCTCCATCACTCTTCCTGCAAAACAAAAAATGTCAGAACGACTTGTAAAATAAAAAATAAAGGATGGAGCAACATTACATGAAATGCCTTTTTTCTTTCTTTTTCTTTTTTTAAAATAAGTGCAAGAAACATTAGTTTGCTGCTGTTCCGGTCATTGTTTGGTAGTTTTGCTAATTGTAATAAAAGTTCTGAACTCTCATGAACTAATGTCTAAATAAGGGTTTCTTTACTCAGTATTACGAATGGAAAAATCTACAAATTAGTTATAAAGTGGCTTTTGGAAGTACCTGCCAATTATTTTGCAATTTGAAGTCTGATTTTTCCATCTTCCATATGATTCACTTGCTGGGATTTTTCCTTTTGATAAGCCATCCACTGTGTCAAAAAAAATGCTCAGGAAAGATGTACCTAAAAGAAGTTTAGAAAACTTGCGTTTTCCCAGTGATTCTGGGACTTTATTTCTTCTGCCAGTAAAGATTCAGTTACAAGCATTCTCTATGCAAGTCCATCTTTATAAAAGGATATTATATTTTGATTATTAGAACTTGAAGTCACAAAGGGCATGTTGAAATAAGGTTTACTTTGATAGGAATTGAAAATGTATTGTAGTAGTCTGAATCCCAAGGGGAAGGTTTCTAATAAAATCTCCATTGAATGTATTCATAGGTGGAAAGAACAGTCAATATTTGAAGTATGAAATGTCAATAAAAGTAAAAAAGTATTACATTCAGTGTATGTTACAGTAAATGGCCTTGCCAGTTAGGATATTGCAGCTTTGTTTCACAAAGTTTCTCTGTGCTGTTGAAAGTATATTCCTCTAAAGGAAAGTAGAATTAGTCTGTTAAAACAGGCCTCCCTAGTTGTTAAAACAAAGAGTTTAATGTAAGATACAATCTTACATTATATCTTACATTTATGTACATTTTAAAAACTATCTTATAAAAGTGAAAAGTAAAATATCTGTAATGTTTTTCATTACCATGAATGCAACTGAGAGAATCACATTCTAACATTGATTCATGTGGGGATTCACTGGTATCCTAGTAGTGGTGGCAGAGGCCACTCAGCTGTCTGTTTCCTATTTTATCTTCTCCCTTGGCTTAGATAAAAAATAGCAATATAAAAAGATTTAAGGCAGAGAAAATGTGGCAGAATGGTGTTCCCTTAACTTGGTGTTAACTCTTTAATAAACTTCTAACTTATGCATAGATTCCTGTGATACCTACCAGTCCTGAATTCACTGCCAAATCCGAAATCAGTCACAAAGGGTGAAGCTTTTATTTGCCAGTCAGTTTTACAGGGGTCGTAGCACCTGCTTTCATAGCCCCAAACAAACCACCAATAGTAATTCAGAATAAAAATGCCTCAAGATGGGACGATCTTCCCTCAGGGGCTGCAGTGTTACAAAGCATATGGCATAGGATCTGGTTTCATGTCTATTCTCCAATAAGGAAGCACTGCCTGGAAGCCATCCAGGTGTCTCTTACATAGGGAGAGTTACATGTCTTTTCTTTTGCGGACCAGGCATCATCAGGAAGGCACTGCTTCTAGCCTCTTGCTCTAAAACTCGTTATATGTGTGCTCACCTGCATTGATTGAACAGGTGGATTGGACTTTTTTCAGCATGCTGTCTCCTCACTGTTAAGTGAATATCCCTTTTATCCCCCTTCCACCACAATTTCAAGCAATCATTGAGCAACATTTAAATCCTGAGATCTGACATTGTATTTACTGCATTAGAAACATGGTGTTGTTGGTAGTGAAAAAAAAACAACAAAACAAAAAAAACAAAACAGAACACACACACAAACAAACAAAAAACACCACCAAAAAAAACCCAAAACAAACAAATAAAACAAGCAACAAAGGAAACCCATATTGTTTCCAGTAAAAAATTCCTGCTTATACATTTAAAATGTACTTCTCATTAATATTCTCTAACACTAGCTTTAAATATCTCATTTGTTTTCTGTACTGTTTGTGGAAAAGCCTGACTTCATTCAAGTAAATTCCACGTTTATTCATGGAACAAATGGAAACACATGAAACATAGCCAATTATTTGCCGATGAATTAAATTACCACTGTGAGGCAAAGTTCAGGAGTTTTAAATGGTGCTGTAGAACTGCAAATGTTTAACTCCCAACAGCTACTCTGCAGCCATCTGCTGTCACCTTTCTACCTTTCTCTAGCCAGCTGCTATAACACTGAAATGAACTGACAACCTTTACCAATTTTGAAATGTGAATTACTTCACATGGAATAAGGACACTACCTTAAACACTTTGGCAGGTTTCCCAAGTCCCTTTCTTCTTGTTCCATGGGTTTATGTAGTAATGAGCAGAATTCATTGGGTTTTTATAAACTGGTGTTTGAGCATGACTGTCTTTCCTGCTCTATAGCTATCTACATGTCTATCACATTGCTTGTTTCTCATCTAGAGTCCATTTAAGGTGAAGAAAAGTAAATATTGTCTGTTTACAGTACAAACCTTTGTCAGTGCCTTCCATAGCTTTGCAATTGTTGAAGCCAGACCACCTACATTCACACAGACACACAAGCCCGCACACACGTGGTTCAAACATCTTCATTATTGCATGTCCATGTACATTGCTAATCTTCGCAGTTTTTTAAAACATGGCATGATAGTTCTTGTCATTCATAGCTTCTTTTATTCATCCTTCAGGTCTCCTGTAATGGCTGGGGGTCTTTTTGCTGTTAACCGGAAATGGTTTTGGGAGCTGGGAGGCTATGATCCAGGATTAGAAATATGGGGAGGAGAGCAGTATGAAATCTCCTTTAAGGTAAGTCATCAAGTCACCTTATACAATACTTCCTTACTTGTTTAGAGCAAGACTCAGTAATTTCTTACCTACTTTGTGATTATTATGCTTTCATTAATACTGACTTTTATCTTTTTACTAAAATTAATTTAGAACAAAACTACTATTTCCTATTAGGAATTTCCACTAATTTAACATAGAACTACGCCATAAACTATGCTCCAGAAGCCACACAAAAATCACACTGAGTGTGGGTCCCTCTGAAAATCTGGTAGCTTACCACCATCAAAGAACAAAATTCTATCTGGTTCCTTTTGTTATGTCTTCTCTGCTTCTCTCAGACGCTGCATTTACTTCATGCTCAAATTTTCAGCCTGGCTCAATAAGCCAAGAGAGAAATAATTGAGGAAAAAAAGAAAACTGCATATCTTTCTGCCTAGATCAACAAGTTTAATCATCTCTTGGGGTAGGCTCCCCTGGAGTCAGCTCAGGGAAATTAGTGGAAATGGAAAGTCCTAGCAAGAAGGACTCCGTTCAGTGGCAGTGAATCACTAGATCAGCTTGGCTGCTATGAGCTGTTATCTACTAGCCAAATGTTCAAAATCAGATTATTTTTTTCATTGCATTTGAATAATTGTAGTGATTAAATATATTGAGAGTTTTCAAGCACTCGGGTTATGTACAACCGGACATGGTTTATCCTCTACGTCAACGTGTATTAAAATCAGTTACTTGGCTTTCACATGTCAAGTTGAACATCTTGTTACTTTCCACATATAAAAATAGGTATTTGCTTTAGTTTGATGAAGACTAACATATCTAATTTTGAAAACTTAGTTTTATTACGTTCCAGTATACCCAAAGACTTAAGAACTCTACATCCAACAATTTTCAATTATTTGGTAAAATTTCATGACAGAGATGAATTGAGTCAAGCATATTTGGATAAAGCTTGGAACTGAAATTAGAATTCACATTTAGCTTCAGGATCTTTCCAACCTACTTCCAAACACTGACCGTGCAAAGCCCAGTAAATAAATTTAGTATGTCAGCTGTGACTAATAGCATACATCTTGCTACATCTGAGTTTCGACAGTGATTAAAACAACAGAGCTGAGGCCATTTTGTTGAACAAAACATCTAGTGTGACCCGACACTGGACTGCCACGCTGTCTTTACAGGAGTTATCAAGAACAGCAAAATGGTTTATATTAACTCTGCTACTCTCCTGTTTCTCAAAATCATTTTTATACCCCAGCAAACTAAAACAGGAAGGCAGGGGAAATAGTGTATATAAAATACATTGATTTACCTTCTTTCCATTTAGGTTGTTTCAGAGGCAAATGTAAGTTGTCACTAGTAGCTGTCAAAATGGTCTCTGACAGGTCACCCAAGATTTTATTATCCCATTTCAAATATGCCTTTTATTCCTCATCACAAAGAATATACTTGTAATGCTCTCCAGTCTTTGTGTAGAAACCATGGTAACAGCACTAGAAATTGAGACACTAGATTGTCCCAGTGTGTTTTGCTCAAGTCATAGCTTTATTTTTTTTTTTGGAGGCAGCTGTGTCACACTGGATCTCATTTCAGTCATCTCTCCTGATTCATCTCATTAATATATACTAACCTTAGGGATACTGTCCTTTTTTATTAGGTTAAAATAAGAAAAAATACTCTTAGAAATGATTGATAAATAGGAACAACTTTCTATTGGAAGAATTTAACAGATGTAGGTTTATTATATCAGAATCACCAATGTCAGCTTGGGAAAGGTTTCTGCTTTGCCAGTTTCTCCTGTAGCTATAGATTCAGTATCTTAAAAGTTACTTAAATGAGGACAAGTTGGCCCAACAGTTTAATTTATCAGCTTTATTAACAAAACTTGGGAAGATGGTAGACTTACCATCTCTCTGCTATCCACAAAGTCAATGAGGAAGCTAGGCAAATAGCCTGATTCAGTTTTCTTGGCTGCCCAAGTGGGTCTGAAACTACATCTTACCTTTCCCTAGAGTGTCCACATCAATGGCCTGTGGAAGTGTCATAGGATGGGTGCCCTGTCTGCTCAAAGGAATCACTAATAATAGCAAAGCCAGGCTAGGAAGCTTGGAAGGAAAGTATCTCACTGACTCCTTCCCTAGACGTGACCTCAGGTGAGAGAAATCAGGCTTCAGTGCAGAGCAGAGTCCTAACCAAAAGTCTTTTCCAGGTTGCATTATCTCATTACACAGGGACAGAAAGTGAGTGGTAAGAGCAAAAATATACATTTGTGTGTGTTTAGGGGAAAGGGGTGTTCAAAAGGAAAAAGAAAGATACTACAGAGAGTGAATCTGCAGTGAAGCTAAAATTTACTGTAGTGTAATTCAAAAAGTTTCTCCAAAATACAGTACAATTTATAATGTTTCTGTGACATTTGGAATTGTGCCATAGCAGGAAAGAAAACTCAAACTTCAGGCATGACTGTTCCAGGTACTGAGTTGTCAAGAGCACAGAGAAACAGGTTAAAAAAAAAAAAAAAAAAGCTGCTGCTTAAACATTTGCTTGACCTTTATTTCCTCGCCTAAAAAAGTCAACGTATTTCTCTTTTGTTCTTCTCTTGCTTGCTAACATTGCTGCAGAAGACAGCCTCAGACATAGCATGGGGTTCCATGCAGATTAGCTGCTGTTTCCAAATCAGAGCACACACATGCATCCATGGATAGTGAGGCAGCCATAACCTATGTGTCAAAATAATACCTCATTATTAAATCATTTCTTAGATTATTTTTACATAAGTAATAATATGCAGCATTTTATTTTTTTGGCAGCATAACCTTGGGATCAATTTTTAAATTAAGATGGTGTCATACCTTGCTGATGATACTGTTCAGCATGTGTTAGACTTGTGAAAGTTGGCAGAGTGCTGGAACACTGTCCTGATTAATAGTGTCTCTTTTCAATAACCAGGAAGCCACTATTTAGAAAATCCTAAATTTAAATCTGTTAGAAAGGCACAGTTTATGTAATAATCTTCAAAATATAAAGCAGTGAAAAATACCAATTTCCTGTGTTTGCTGAACATCCTTTACACTGGTTGTTTCTTAGGCATTGTAAATCATACCTTAACAAAAATGCTGAAGTTGATCCCTAGCCTCTTTGGAGCTAGTCACCTATATCTCAAGTTGTTTTGTCCTTACCCATTCCAACACATCTTCCAGATTCCCTTCATCCCTATTTTTCAACACACACTTCCAAGTTCATTAATCCCTTTCTTTATCATCACCATCCTCATAGATTCCTTACACTGCTGGCAAGCTTGGTGGGAGGTAGGGAGTGGGGAAGCATTACCACTGGCAGTTGTAATCTAGATAAAGAACCGACAAACATGGAATATTGCCGGTTTTCTCCATGTTTTAGAGGTGCCAGTGAGTACTGTTGAAATATCCATGATCATCCTTTTCCAGTTTACATGGTAGAGTTTTAATATCCCTGATAGGAGATCTCACTGTGCTGCAAGTAAGTGGCTTTGCTGTTTGTGAACCCATTGATTGCAGATTTGCAGTCACTGATCTTATTTTTCAGGTTTTTTCTTGCATTTAGCTGAACATTCTCACAACATGAAGACGTTCACAGAAATGTATTCTTCCACTTCATTTTCTACAGCTATTAAATCAGGGGGTTTGTTTTCTATTTCAGGAAGAGTGAGACTGAAAAATCCCATAAAGTTTTTATATCCTTATTTTCTACAACTTCTTCAGCCCCATTTTGGTATTACATTTCTCCTGGTTGTAGTCTGTACTTGTTGCACGATGCTCAGAGCACTGAGCTGACAGCTTTGCATGACATACTTTATATTCCTCTTCCAACAGTTGGTCTCACTGTTGCCTGTCTTGTTACTCACTCTCAGCAGCAGTGTATTTCTCTGTTAGATTTGAAGCCTGATCCAAAATCCATTCAGTCCCTTCTCAGTCTTGTACATAATTTACTGTATGTTTATGTTCTTGTTACAAACACACCCCCTCCACTGCTCAAAAATCATAGGTCTTTTACTGCAGTAATTATGGTTACAGTATAGCATATGGATTGGAGTCTCCTTGTCACATGCACAGTATTTATATTTTTCAGATAGGCTGTATCACTCGCAAACTAGACAGATAAGGCAGGAAAAAAGAACCTGTAAGAGTAAGCAGGATTCAATTTTAAAGACAAAGAAGGGATGTGAAAAGTGAGTGATTCACCCAAAATTCCACAAGAGCTATAGAGCAGAGCCAAAAAAAAATGTATCTGTGTCATTGTAGCTCCAGTCAGGAACAAAGCCATATAACCTCGGTATAATCTCTTGTAAATTTTGTGTTAATACTTGCCTTTTGCTTTCAACCATCCCTATAAAGTGTTTTGCAGCATTCTGTTGGAAGGAGCTATATGAATATAAATTGTGATGTAGTATGTAGTTTACACATAAACTACACTTCTTCTGATCTTTCCAAGCTGAAATTTTGCATTGTTTTGATTCCATCTTTGGTTTTAGTACCTCAGCTGCAGACCAGACTCATTGCTTTTGTAAGAGGGAAGCATTAGCAAGCTTGAGAGTTTCATTGCTTGCTTCTCAGCTAAACGGAGAGGCGTCAGTGTTGTGATATCATTTTGCCAAATGTCTCACACTGCCTGAATTCCTGTCATGGTACACTGGAGATCTGTGGTATTTAACACAGAAGTCACGCTCCAATTTCTTTCATTCAGTGCAGGTGACATAAAAATGCACATTTTCAAGACAAATTTACCAGGATTGATCTTCTCAGGAAAATACAAAAAATGCCTTTAAAATAATTCTGAAGCTGCAACATAAACAGGAACAGCTGCTAAATGTCCTTCAAGGCAGTCCAAGATTCATTTCAATTACTCTGCACAGTGCACCTCAGGTGCAGCACAGCATTTTCAAGTTTTATGTCTATCGAATATAAGACTAACATAAAGTGTTACTTCCTCCCACTTGTTATTGCCTCAGCATATCTGTCATGGCTTTCTTTCTAATTCCTTTTCTCTTTTTTTTTATATATGCAATATAGGTCTACTTCAGCTCTCATTGTCTAAGTTAAAGTAACACTGGCCTATATATGAATGTATTTCTGCTTTCTTGTATCTTAGATTTCTTCAGTGGCTGACCTTTGCCTGAGTCAAACTGCTATGCAGTCCACTCTGCAAAGGCTAAGAAACCTCAGTTAATCTCTGTAATATCTTGTCTGGCCTTTGAAATAACACCTAAATTTAAAAAACAGTAACAAATAGTAAATATGTATTTACACTTTCATTGGCACACTGGGATGTTTGAAGAGAGCCTTAGAGATGAGACTAAAAAAAATAAAGATACAAATTACCTAACAGTCAAATAAAGTATTGGCAGAAAGGTGAATAGCTTAAATTTTTTTAAAATCATGGCATTCTGTACCTTATTGAAACATTACCATTATTATTATTTTCAGTGTGTTTATGAACAATGTGTTTCAGTGATTTGTGTGACATGGAGTTAAACAGGTGAGGATTTCAAGGTCGTATTTAAGAAGCAAGTTTTTAAAAATGTTTTTGAAAATAAGATAATGATCATGTTTACATGACATACCAAGACTGCTCTGAGCTGCAATGAGCTATTTTGTCATGGAGGAGGAGCACTCGAGTCGCCACTTCCAACTCATTTCCAACCCACCAGTAAATATCATCCCTGAGAAGTACTGTGCTCACAAACAGACCAGATGAGATATCCTCACCACAGAAATAGTATGCTCTTGATTCTGTCAACATATGTGCTTCAGGAGAGTGAAGCCCAGAACTGCTGCCTTTATTACCCTGTGCCACTAATATGCAAAATTTGTCTCCTCTTAAGAGAAGTTAGCTTTCACCAGAACGACCTACCCAGAGTTCCTGTGCCTTAGTTAAGAGTTAACTAGCTGCACCCAGGTGTCTATGGAATTTTAGGACAAAGCCACGCATGTAATCTTGCCCCACCTTTGATGGTTTCAAACCTTCCTTAACCATTTACATTACTGTATTTAGGTTTATCCTGTAATGTGCTCTAGATCCTCAAATATTTCGTTGCCAGGTCAGCTGGATGCCACAGTTAACAGCGAAGGGACCATAAGGGCTAATGCACAAGTTACCCATAAGAAGCAGCTTCCTGAATGACCTGGCAACTCAAGTCTTCACTCTAAAGTATTTTTATTCTCTTTTCACAGACTGTTCACAGCACAGTCACTCAGGGTCTAAATTCCAGTGTGCTACCTTCAGCAAGCAATTTTAAGGCACGGCTCAAGCACCAAGTTATCCCATATTGCAGTGTTTAGCATCTGCATGTTCAGATTACTAAAATTTTGTCCCAAGCTCACAGCCACACTGCCAGGACCAAGCAGATATACCCACTGTAAAACAAACAGGCAAGCACAGCAGAAGAGGCCAAATTTGCCCATTTTCACTGTTGTTTTAAATGAATGCAATTAATCATTTTGTTTTCCTGTGATTTCAAAAAAAGCCAGTAGCTACAGCCAGGTGGTGGGCAAAAGAGACAGAAAGAGAAATGTATCATAAAAAAAGTGTAGAGATGCACATTGTTCTCTGTGGGCTTCAGGCAGAATGTCAAGTATTTGTGATCACATCAGATTGCCTGAAACCTTTTTTTAAGGGCATGGTTGCTGTTTTTTTTTAATTCAGAGCATATCAGCTGTAAATTATTTCCTTTCTATAGGGAAATTGCTGGTTAAACTTTCAGTTATCTACGTTCTGCTCTGCTTTCAGTTGCAAACTTATTTCATGCCATTTTGTTCCAGGGTGCATCAAGTACAGATAAAATTCCTTCATACATGTAATGCATAGACTTAAATTCTCATTCAGATTAATGCAGATGTTTCATGAAGCATTTTTATGTATGTCCACCTAAAGAGTGAACAAGCCATTTCTCTCTCTTAGCTTTTCTTTTACATTGGGTAGGAGGGCGTTTGGTTTGTGTTCTTATTTCAGTCTAAAGGATAAAAACTGAGGCCACAAATGTCACTTACCTGGAAGAAGAGCCACTCTGTTCTAATATTTGTGGGAAACAAAGCATTGTTTTGCCAGGTTTAGGAAATAATTTTTATAATACCACTGTTTTCACTCTAATTTTAAACTCTTGCTGCGCGGTTGGTATTAGGATATTTTAAGAGTTCTACTTGGGAATTTTGGAGAGTGGTTTTGTTGTTGTTTTCCATTTCCCTGATCTGCAAGGTCAAATTGCTAGTTTTTAAATTAGAAAGTTATTAATGTTATCAGTGTGCTGCCTAAGAGCTGCATTGCAGTTTGTGGGCTCTGCATTGCCGGAGCACAAAATCATGCCCATGGGGGAGACTGGCGTGATTGCCCTAGTTCATCAGACATGGCACACGACCTTGCTGTCATATATACTTGGTGAAACTCGTTCATGCTAGTTGAAGAATAATAAAAGAATTCCTTACGTGCTATCCATTAGGGCATAGCTTGATTTTTAGAGCCATGAAGTGCTTGCAGCTCCCATCAGTGTTGACTGAGGTTACTCAGACCTGAAGCATCATACCTGAGTGCTCCAGATGGTTCCATCTATTTCAGTATTGAAGTATTAATGATGAAATGTAGTGGCACAATCTTCCTTCTCTGCCTACATAAATTTGATGAGAAGGAAATGGATTTTTGTTCCTTTTTCTTTATAAAATGAAGACCATCTTAGTATTTAAGCTCTGTATTTACTATTAAAATATAAGCCAGGTCTTTTGAAAAGAAAAAAAAACCACAACTTCTGATTGATGATTCATGGCTTGCTTTACTCACATAACCTTGTTTTGAAATTTTGGTCCTATATGTTTTAAACAGTAAACACAACAGTATCTTTGTTGTGTTGCAGAAGAACCATTAGTAGATATTCTAAACAAGTTTTATTATTTCACTTTGAACATACTGTGCTTTTGCACATAGAGATTCTGGGTAGGAGAGTCTGTCATGTTACCAGATCCCAGCTATCAGCATGCCAACAAGGCCACCACTATGACTGTGGCAGGGATCAGTACAGAGCTATGTGTCATTTTCACACATGCATTATATAAAATGTCTTCTTTGCCCCATTTGTGTCCAGGAATCATTCTTCCATTTCCTTTCCCGTTTCCTTTCCAGGTGTGGATGTGCGGCGGTGGCATGTTTGATGTTCCATGCTCTCGAGTTGGGCATATCTACAGGAAGTACGTCCCATATAAAGTCCCTTCTGGAACCAGCCTAGCACGGGTCAGTAATTAGGTTTTACTGCTTTTCATTTTGGTTCATCCATCAGTCTCTTCATTCTCTGTAAACTAGTTTCCAGTAAACCATTAAAATGGAAAACGTGTGTTTCTTTATTTTTCTGAAATGAGATGTAGAATTGCTGGAGTTATGCTGCCTTCCAGAGATAAGATTGCCAAGAACAAAATGAAAGCTTAAAAGTATAGGGTTGGACGTCTCAGCTCAGAAGCACATTTCATGCTGATTCAAATGTAGGAATAACCTAAGGCTTATGGTTCTGGAATTGCAGTGTTGTCAGTTATAGTTTTTACAAGCAGGAACAATTTGAATGCACATTTTCTTATCAGTCAGCAGAACAGGCAGGATCTCTTGAAAGGAACATTTTCTGTTGCAAAAGAAGGGAGTAACAATGATTTGAGTGACTGCCTAATTATTGTGTAAAAACTGTGGAATACAGCCAGCTTGGAGCTATGTGAGTGAGAAAATACAAGACCTCTACAAATTTCTCAAAGCCTACTGAATGCATCCATATCCATGAAGGGCTTTTTGCTCAAGAGAAAATGTTCTATAACTTTCTGGAGATGTTCATGGGATGTCAAAAGATGGGAGACAAAGGGCATAGTTGTAGCTCCTGGGCAGATATTAGTATTTATTCATGCCTGAGTTTAATATTTTCTGGTTTCTAGGATTTTTTCTTTAATAAAATGGAATTAATATGAAATTCTGCATGTTGCCATAGAGTAATATTTTATGAATAATATTTTTTCTTAATAATGAAAATGTGGTGTGAATAAAAGAATGCATTTCTTACTTTAAGGGAGAGGTATTCTTGGATTCAGAATCACAGGACAAGTCTTGCTGTAGTAACTGTAGCAGAGGAAAGAGGCTGTCTGTGCTGCCTGCCTGACAGCTGGCTAGACAGAGAGAAGGATTTGCCTTAGGAGAGCATCTGTGCAGACAGTGAGACACACGAGACAGTAATGCAATTAGCAGTGGTGTTAGTGGTGGTGACAAAACCTGTATTGACTAAATAGTGAGATGAAAGTCTTCTTCAATACACCTCTGTATGGTATCAGAGTTTCCCTATCCAGATTTTTGCACTGGCTGAAATGATCTGCTAGGTTTATGGTATCCCTTGCAAAAATCACACGCAACTTAAAATAAGAAATCCAAACCTCTGTCTCTGATTTTCTCTATTACAACACAAAGTATGTTATTAGAGAATATGCTGTCTCATGCATTACCTTTAGGAGCAAAATACAATCCTTTCTATTTGGGCTGTTGTACAGTTCAATACTCATCTAGTTTTCATGGAGGCACTCTGAGTACTCACTTACATGTGAGCACTTAGATCCATCAGGCAGCCATAGCCTGCAGTCTCCCTATGCTATTTATTCCAGCTTGGTTTCAATAAATCACTTGTGAAATAGTACCAAAAACATTTTCCAGTTTTAAAAATGCAATCTCTGCCTGTGCACAAACCGACTACCCTGTATCTTGTGGGATCTGGTGTGCTGATAGCATGAGTCTTATCCTTCCCCTTTAAATAATGGATCGATTCTTCTATGGTGTGGGAGTCCAAAACATGACACTTTTGGTCAGATACATTTTTGGCATATGTTTATCACTCAAAGAAAATCTGAATTCTCTTATTCCCAGCTTCTTTCCAGTACAGTATTGTAAACCAAAACAACGTTGCAATAAGGCTGCCAAGAGCACAGGGGCTTCTCTAAATTTTAGTATTTGGGGCTATCAATAACTAGAGAAGGAAGATAGTTTGGTCCCTGACTCATCAAATTGTGTGTATTTTTAAGCCTAAAAGTATTCTCTTTCTATCATCCAAGCCAGAAAAGGAAAAGCGAGGACATATTCATCTTCAGTGTGTCAGTCTCTGATATAGACCACTTTTGGTTCCAAATAAAATGCCCCAAATGGAGCTCTTCACCAAAATAATACTAGAGAAGGATGCCTAGAAGTGGCCTGTATTTTTCAGCTATGTTTGCATTATCCTCCAAGTATTATATCCTCCACAGATTATAGTCTTCCCCCTCTGGGTATTATATCTAAAACTTCACTCTCGTTCAAGACTAAAATTAATATCAAACTCAAGAACATCTGGAAGTATTATTCCT